TTGGTCTCAAAGTTCTTGAGCTTATGGACTCACTCACAATTTTTCCTGAAGCTCTCATTTTCCCTGACAGAACTAAGTTAAGTTCCTGTTCAGAAATAGCTTTGTGATACAGAAGTAATTTGTTAGCATACAGAAAGATGGATGCAGGACAGGCAGGAAGCCTCTTTTATTCACACCTTAGTGCATATTTGGACAGTATTGTTATATTGCTACAGAGTTACAGAATTGCAGAACTGAATAACTAAGAATTATAGAAGTTCTTCAATGTGTGTGTGGATAATGTGAGAAAGAAAGAAATTTCCATTGATTCATATCTTTCAGGAGAAAAAATACTTTCTGAAAGCTCTGACACACTTGTCTACCCAGTCAGATGGAGTTGGCTTATCTGTTAAGTTTATGTGTAAGGGAGAAATTAATTGTGTTGTTTTTCATGTTTAATAATGTTTAAAGTATTTCTGTTCCTGCAAATGCCCAGAGAAGTCTATATTTCAATCTCTGAACCATTTAAATCAAGTTCTGATAATACTGAGTGCCTTTTAGATATGTAGCTTGAATCATAAATGTAAAAGCAACCTCTGCCACTGTCTAGAGACAAGATGGCTAAGCTACTCGCATTGGCATTTTGCAGCATGACAGGGTCTCAGTGTAGATTGTGATCACAGGGAACAAACTTTCTGCTGAGCAAGACCTTGTTGAAGAGCAGCAGAATTCTCCATCCCAATGGGGACTAAACCCCAAGGCGTGGAACACCCTTAATTCATTTTGAAGCCCGCGCTATTTAGAGATGAGCCGTCACTTAGAGAAGCAGACCCGAGGTCAGCCCTGTGGCTAGTATCTGTGGAGAAGCTTTTCAACTTGGAAACTTTTCTCAGCAGAAATATTTCAGTGCTAAGGCATGTATGAAGATCTCTCGCAGCTCCTGTGCAGCACAAGAAACCTTTGTCCCACACATCTTGTAAACGCGGCGGGGGGCCACCATTGTGCTGTGCATCTTCTGAGCACCGCGGGAGGAGGCTTTTGTCTGGCACAGTGGGCAGGCACCATAGGAGGGCACCTTTGTCCTGCACAGCCAGTAATCGCTCTGCAAGAGTGAATTATGGTGATTGCAGAGCTCTTCTCTCTCCAGACTCTGATTTCAGATGGAGAAGTTCGTCAGCCTTGCTAGGTGAAGAGCTGCTTTTCCTGAGTGGAAGTGGAAAGGGAAGACATTGAAAGTCTTTGCATGAGTGTTTGCAAATGGCCAACAGGATAATTCACACAGACATATTGCATGACCCACTGCAAGCACCATTCCCAGTTTCAATCTTTGCTTTTCCTCTTCCCTATTTTTCCTACTCATTTAGGCTGCCCTTTTAATTATTATTTCTTTGTTCCTTCTTATGTTTGTACTATCTCCTATTCAATATGCTATTCCTATATTCAGCATCTATATTCCCAGTATTCTTTCAGATGACTAATAACCACATTTAATAGACTTGAGCGCAAATACCATTTCCTCTGGAACATCATAGGTATACTTTCAACCCCATATTATTACTTGTTATTTGTCTTCTCAAATGCTTTAGCAACTTCTCCAAAAGTGTGCCAGCATCCATTTCCTAGAGTCTGAGATAATGTACAAAGCATAACTCTGCATCTGTGAGATGGGACAGGATGGGATGGGATGGGACAGGATGAGATGAGATGAGATGAGATGAGATGAGATGAGATATGAGATGAGATGAGAGATGAGATGCTGAGTCTGGACCCTGTGCAGCTGCAATGTGTACTGCAGCTGCTGGTGGACATGCTGCTGGCAGCTAGAGCCATCCAGGGCATGGCAGCACACATTTGGGAGCTGCATTACTGTAGATCTCAAGTGTTTGAGTGCCCCTTGACTGGCATGAAGCAACTGATTTGCAAGTGAGATGTAGGAGTCACCACAGTACATTAGAGTAGTGAAGGTCATAATCCATTTTAAGTGATTACATTGACTTCCACTGCCCTAAGGTTGCCAGGCTGACTTATGTGGAAAGCACAGCAGTGGGTAAGTCTCTCACCTGCTGATTTTTGTTATTCAATAAAGTCTGGGTTTTATCTGCTCTTATCAAATTTGAGCTTATTGTGTCTACTGTTATCCTAGAGGTGCTTTTGATTTTTCATAATGTTGATCTCTTTCTTTACTGGTATTCAGACATGAATTTTATGTGTGGTAGTTAGTTTCAATTAATCCTTCTTTTCTCGAATTAATTTTTTTTTTCTTCTCATCCCCACTCCAGTCCTCTGGTGCCTACCTGATTGTACATGAATTCTCAGAAATAATTGCCAGTAGTCCAGCAAGTTCATTAACTGATTCCCTGAAGACCCACATATGCATGTCATCCAGACCTGATGATTTGCATATTAAATTTTTAAAAGTATTCCCTTACCTGGTTTTTTGTATCAACAACTGTACCGGCAAGTCTTCATTATTTCTTATTATATGTCTCTTTGTGGTGCTTGGTAAATTGACTCTGGAACTTGTTCACTGTTTTACTGTCATTACTTGTTTCACCTCACTCATTATTGGTTCTTCCATTTCTTTGGAGCTCCTTTCCAATGATGTTATGCACACGATAAAATATATATTCATTTATCTCTACATCTCTCCATGCTGACAAGTGGGAGGCTGGTTTGCTTTTTGACATTTCTGTCATTTATCTCTGTGGGACTGGGACTAGGAGGGATTTATATTTTTTTGTTCTGCAATTGTAGCCTTTGCATATTTTAGAGTATTCTAGCTGTTTCCCACACTTAACAAGTTTTTTATATCTTTTCCATGCAGCATGCTCCTAAGATTTCTCAAAGAATTAATATCTGAAATCACTACACGCTGTGCAACAGCCCATCGGTTAATGCAATATATTGAATCGTGGTTTATCATCACGGCTGTTGAAATTAGTGAGCACTAAGAATATATATCTCAAAGGACCTCGTCTTTAGAACAACTGCTTCTTATTGTCTGTCTCTTAAAAATTATTCTTTCTATCAAGAAATAGATGGCTGTTCATGCATTTAATTTAGATCTGAGTATTATTAAATGCACAATTGAGATTAAAGTCATCAATGGTATTTTTTCTCTGGCAAAAATCTTATGGCCAAAATCTGTTGTCACCCTTAGGACACAATTCCACTTGCTTCAGTTGAATTTTCCAAGCCTTTGGTATATAAATCTTAAATGCACAGCGTGTGCAGTGTTAAATTTTTAGAGCTCTCCCTTTAGTAGTAGTTGAATGTGAATACATAAGGGCAAAATTTGACCTTTAAAAATGACTGTAAAGGGCCAAGGTAGATACTTAGCAAGCTTTTCTTATTGCAGTATTAATCAAGCAAAGAATCATCATAATCCTGGAAACTAAGTATCCATTGTAGTGATTTTATCACCAGGGAAATTGTTCATCTGCCAGTAAGATTGTTACTAGGAAGGGGAAAATAGGGAGTGTTAAAATTGCTTTAGACTGCTGAATCATTGAGTCCCTCTAGACTCAAAGCTTGAATTGTTTTTTGAGAAGAGTGGGTTGAGAGGAGTTGCCACAGGAAAGCTGTAGGTTAATCAATTTCAGTAACACTAGTGAATGTGAGCATGATCTCTCTTGAGGACAGGAGGAAAGTAAATGGGAGAAGGCAGGATGAAGAAAGACACAGGGAAGCTTCAGAAACTTACTTTTTTTGTTTTGTCATTGTTGTTTTTTTGTTGTTTTGTAATTTTTTGTTTCTGGATGACCCTTTCACAGAGGAAGTTATTGATGAAAAAGGAAGGAAGGGGGAAAAAAAGCAATGTATTATTTTCATCTTAATCCAGTGGATATTAATGAGGACTGTTACAATCAAGACAGAGAGTGCAGACAGGCAGAAGTGAGAAAGATGTGTTTGTGTGGGAGATGTCTGTGTAGGAACCAGAAAGCCACATGGAAAGATGTTTTGCCTTCAGAACTCAAAGCTGAGATCCAGGCATGTGAAAAGGAGGTGAAACCTCTGTGCAGAAGTTTCCTTACAGTGTGTTAGGATAGTCTATCCCTCTGTAAAATCAGCTTTGGTAGATGACTTTTGTGTCCATGGTGGTGGTGGGCAGTCATAGTATACTGAGCCACGCCATAACCTCAGGGACATGTCTGTTAGGCTGCAGGTGTTGCTAGAAGGGAAGTTTTATCCTCCTGCTGTGCTGGCCCGCTTCTGTGTTTCCCAGGTGGGGAACAAGTCTTGGTGAGTATTGCTATGAGGTGTCTTACAGGGAATGGGATAGGTGATCTGTATTGACAGCTACCTGCAGGATGGAATCATAGAAACTTTTATGTTGGACTTGACCCTTGAGATCACAGAATCCAAATCAAGCCAGCACTGCCAAGTCCAACACTTGGTAGGATGAACTGCCTCTCAACAGAGAATTTCTACAATGATGGGTGAATTTGAAGGTGCAAAGCATTTGTATAAAAGGAGTATGTGGGAAATTTCTGGAAGATGTCTTAAATTGTCTCTGTACAATGAATGCAGAGAGGGGGAGGAAAATCTGTGTGTGCACGTGACGTTGATGCTCTTTGTACAAAAACATCTCTTTGTGTGGGAAGTAGTGTCTTTCCAGAGAGGGTTTTTTGGAGGATTATTTTGCTTGTGTGATGGCTGCATTTGGGGGTGCAGGGATGTACAATGTAGCAGGTAGTGCCTCCATCAAAGACCTTCTGGAGGGGATGGTGTGTGTGGACCCACCAAGAATGCTCCATGGGTGGATAGAAGGTCCTGACAGGGATATGAAAGTGGGTGTGCAGCACATGCCATGCCAGAGCAGCCATCCTATATCCCCAGGGACTGACAGGCCACACTACATCCTGTAGGGACCATCATCCACCCTGGATTGCATCCTTTTCCACCTGGCAGGCTGTGGCCACTGTGTCCCTCATTGTTGTCACCCCCAGATTGTGATACTGTCACAGAACTGTTGCTAGGCAACAAATGTGGTTGCCGGGTCTCAACGAATAGCTGAAGGGGAAAGTGAAGTGTTGCACCATTGTAGAGTAACCATAGCAATGACCTACTATTACAGACTAAAGAATTATCATTAACAATGTTTAAGTATCAAACAGAGGCCCAGGATCCAAAGACTGCCAGGCAGCATCTCTGCATAATTGGGTTACCCAGGAAGAGGTCCCAACTCTTTCACACCCCTTGGCTCCCTATCTCCATTGTCTTGGCTTGGTTTTGGGGGTTGGTGGTGGGAGGATGGAGGAGGGGGTGTGGTTGTTTAAATGGACTGTGTGTCGGAAGGCACTTGCAAAACAATAGAAGCATATGCCAAAAAAAAAAATACAGAGGTAAGTCTGTGTGCAGAGGGAAGATATAAACAGGACAGGTCCACTTTGCTGTCTCAATATTATCTGTGGGAGCAGGTGCACAAAGAATGCCTTCATGTTGCATGAGATGTAGTTCAGATCAAGTGTTCTCTTTCGCTTGAAAATGCATATGCCAGGTTAAAAGCAGTATAAAATGAAAACTAAATAACACAAAGTATGCCTGAAAAGCAGACACTTTCTTTTTCTCAAGTTAGACCAGATAGGTGAGGTGGTTCAATAAAGCTTTTATTAGCAGAATGCTTTGGGATCTCACTATCCCAGATACAAGACATGTAGAGTATCTCTGAGTGTGATGTGGATGGCTGTGCATATGTGTATGTTTGTGCATGTGTCTGCCTGCATGTGTGTGCAGTTGTCCTTGTCAGCTGCCCCAGAGCTCAGCAGCAGGACAGCCCTGACTCTCACCAGGCTCCCTCCAGACCAGCTGCAAGCAGCTGGGTGTCTTCCCAGGATTTTGCATTTTTGCATTTTACGGAGCATTTATCCTGTGAACAGCCAGCAAGTCACAGAACGACCCCTAGTTAAACTGTCACCTCTGTCTTTTGCAGGTACAGAACGCCATGAACTAACTTCTTGGAAGAGTTTTCCATCTGTTTTCAAGTTCTTCGGTGAGGCTGTAAAGGCGAAGAACAGCTTGGTGAAACCAACCCCAACACGGCGCTCCAACAGGATAAAATATGAAGAATTCTAAAGGAAGGGAGGAAAAAACCCACCACCACCAATGTCTTTGCTGCTTGTTTTCTGCAAGGAATCTCCCAGCCCTTCATTAGATTGTTTTCTTCCTAGAGCACAGGGTCGTGATGTATACATCTAAATAGCGTTTTGCATTATTTCTAGATGAGTGCAACTGTCAAAGCAATATGGGTTCACTGGTTGTGCTTCCTGTGGGCTGTAACTTGGATTTTGTGCTGCCCATCAGTGTGCAGATTAAGGCTGACAGTGGTACTGCACAGTGCAGCATGGTGCAGCTCTAATTGCCCTGACATAGCCCTGCACCAAGCTGATGCCAGAATTTAACAGCTTCATCACAGTCCTATCGCCTGCAGGATTTTTTGCAGCTTCCTTCTATTTCGAGACAGAACAGAATATGAATTACTCTTATTTAAAAGACGGCCCTAACTCAAACATGTTAACCAGCCTATGATTTTACACCTAGTAGCCTTCTCTTTCTCTGGGACCAAGTGGAATTTACTTCTAACTCTCTCATTTTTCTGCTGGCAAGAGTGTTCAAGAAGTTTGCCCAGAATTCTAGAAAGGCTTCATTGTTGAAGAGATTTTCTCTTGATCAATGGTATTATCTGTAGATCTTCTCTTCCTTTGGAAAGCTCTACTTAAAAGAAATGCCTATTCATTAGCAGGCTGGATCACACTGTGAAATATGACAGAAAAAAAAAAAAGGAAAAAAAAAGAGACATACTGCATATTTTTCTGTTTATTTTTAAACACAAAAATGCTTCCATTTTCATATGCTAGGTTTTTAATGACTTGCTGGCCCATGGTTATTCCCTTTTCCCTAAACTCGCAGGTTCCTCCCCACTTTCCCAGTCTCTCGGACAAAGGTTGACCAGCAGGGCACCCTGTGTGGGAATTTCACACTCTGCATAGGGGGTATGTGGTTTTAGCTGTAACTGTTGCGTTAGGTAGGTTTTCTCCACTAAAACCAAGGGAAAAGATGTGCTTGATAGCATGCCTAGTGATCAAGCACTGTAATTAAGCTCATTTGGTGTTCATAATACTAAATTAAAATGGCCCTTTCTTTAATGGTCGTGCCCACCAGCAAGAAGGTGTCACTCAAACATGAGTTTTGGACCCAGTCCCGCCCTCTCCTCATGCTGTGTGTCCAGTCCTACAGCTGGGAGCCTGAAACGGTGGTGGGGAGCATTGAAACAAAACAATGTCAAAGCAGGGGTACCCTCCTATGCCACAGAGCAAAAGCAGAAGCGCTCATAGTGAGGTGCAGAGGGAAACCCAGCTGGATTAGGGCCTAAATCCTTCTGGTGAGAGGCTTCTCAGCACCCATGGAGTGCTTACATCCCTCCCTGCTCATAATGGAAGCAGGGCTTCACGTCCCCAAGTCCTGCTTCCGGCCATCCCGCTGCATTTAAGCTCTGCTCTTGCAGGGGGCTGCCTGCAGCAAACCTCTGGGGGGCTGGAGGAGGTGTCAGGCCGTGCCCATGTGGAAGGAAGTGTGGTATCTGTGGCTGGCAGATTTTCTTCCTGGAGGGGATCCTATTGCTGAGGGGAGAGGGCTACACATGGCTTCCTCTGGCCTCCAGTCTCTGCACTTGCTCCCAGGATGCTGCTGCCTGTGGCCAGCCTGATCCCCTGCCGTGGGGGTCTGCTGCCCCCCTCCCCAGGTCCGTGTCCACCCTGGCCCCCTGGACCCTGTGTGTTTAGGGGTAAGGCAAAAGAGTTTACGTGGTGTGGTTTGGGTGTCTGTGCTTCATCCCGCAGACGGGGAAGATGCAGTGGCCAGGGAAGTTTGCACACACACACACGCCAGACCTGCCACTCCATCTCTCTGGAGGCGAGATGGGTTCCCAAATACTGGAGGAGCAGATCTATTTTTGTAACTGTTGATGAGAAACAAACTACAAACATTTTTACTGTAACACTTATCATTTTCTAAAGAATTTTTCTTTACCGTGCCCTGGGCCCAGCTCACATTATCACTCCTGTGGGGGGCTGTAGAGCAGAGGGGATCCTCACCACTGATACTGCTCTGCTTGCAGTGAACAAAAAATAAATATGCTATCTTCTCTCCTTCTTGCACACTTTGTGTCCTTGCACCAAGCTCCATGGGAACCGCTGTCCCTGGTGGGAAGGGTGGGGGCTGCACGGGCAGCAGCTCCACCAGCCTCAGATCACATGGAAGGGAGGCAGGTCCACATCATCCATGGGAAGCCACATAGGCAAGTGGGCTGCACCATCCTCTCCCCTTTAGCTGTTCAGAAATGTGAAACCATATAAAAACACACTAAGAGAGGAGTTTGATCAGTTTTTTCCAGAGGGGCATGGGCTAGAGATAGAGGAGACAGCATCTCTGGCCCCAGCTGCAGAACATTTTTCTGGGCTGCAGACAGAGAGGAAGGTATGGGAGCACCCACATGGAAAAGTGACAGTGGTAACCCTGCAGCACACTAAGGAGGGATGAGTGCTGATTTTGACTATTCCTTAGGATTGATGTTTTTAAAGATGCACCTCACAGGCCCCTCAGGCCATGACATCTTTAGGAGACAGAGGTCTGATATCAAGCTCCTCCTGATTTCATCATAGGAAAGCTCCCTGATGTCTGACATGGTGCAACAGCCTCTGCCCTGTAGCTTGGGAACTACAAGTGCAAAAGTGACCAAAAAAACCCTCAAAAGCACAACAAACCCCCCCAAACCCAAAACAACAACAGAAAACCAACAAAACTGACCCTACAATATGATCTAGGAAAACTCCCAGCTCCTTGCCACCCAGAAGGTTTGCACATCATTGGTTGAGTCAAAATGCTACCATTGAAGCCATGGACCAATGAAAGCAGTGCTTCCTTGTCAAGAATGGAGAGCAGGAAAGTGTTCCTAGCAGAAAACAGCTGGCAGACCCCCAAACACAGCAGGGCTGTGGGGAAAGAGAAAGAAAAAAAGAGGTGGGGGAAAAACGTTAGGGTAATCCCTCGTCTTCATTGTGCATACATGGCAGTACACTGGTTACAGTAACAGTCCTCACAGTGTGATTCTCCCAGACTCAGAAGAAGCTGCTGATTTTCATGGAAATCTGCGTTTTTCCTCTGTCTCTGAGAAATATCACTTATTGTGGGTAGTGGGGTTTTTTTCCCCTCTAGAAATTTCATTCAGAAGTACAAATGAAAAGTGTCACATCTAAAACTGCATGGAGCCACATATTGCACCATTCTCAAGTCAACCAAACCAAAAATAACCTGCCAAGAATGTGTACATCCATCGTACACCAGGGTAGAGCTACATCTACAGAGCGGAAGGATGTGTGTGTGTGTGTGTGTGTGTGTGTGTGTGTGTGTGTGTGTTTGTGTGTGTGTGTGTGACTGCACACATTCATGGATATCTCCATCTCACAGGGATGTGTGTGTGTGTGCGCGCGCGTGTGTGTGCGTCCGCATTATGTTGATGTACTCGACAAAGTGTGAAAAATGTACTTCTAGGAAAACTTGAAAGGAGATGTCATTTATCATTGTATCATCATAATACCACAAATTTCACTTTTCTGTTCCATTTTGGATTGCATGTGTTTGAGAGTATTTCACTAGATCAGTGACAGCTCTTTATTTGCATAATTATATGCTCTGGTCTGAAGAGAAAACTAACCCCCAAATTTCATGGGTCACCAAACTGCAACAATCAATGTTTTATCACATATGCTAAGCAAAACCTAAGGAGCTATATGAAGTTTCTTGTGGATTTTTTTGCTCCTCAGAAAATTAAAGATGTATCTCCTGAATAGATGCAAAATCTTTCCAAGCTCTTTGTAGCTGAATTCCATTTGAAGGGAAAACTAGAGATTAGCTCGTAGATCTGGATTTCAGACCCACTAGTATTCTTACTTCAAAGTGGATTCAGACAAGCAGCTTTACTGCATCTCTAAATTTTGCCATCCTAAGTAATGTCATTGAAATGGTGAAAATCAAAAAATTAAATTAAAAGAAAAAACCAAAATGGTCAAATGTAAAAAATACAGTCACCCCCTTTCTTATCAAGCCCATAGTGACCAGTGGGTTTAATTTCATTCATTCTGTGCAGTTTTATAGTATCAGCTGGGTGCTATCCCCATATAAAGATACAGATATTTGGTATATGTAGAAAACCCTTTCCTGAGCTGTAGAATTTGTTCTGGTCCATCAGTTGCACTATAAGCACATGCTTCAGTTAGGGCACAAATACTCCCAAGTTTCTTTCTCAATCAAAATGCCTTCTTATGAGGAGGAAGGAAGTTGGGGATGGGAACTGACCGGCGGTGGCAGTTATAATACAACTGTATATAATTGTATAGTGTATTGTACATAATATAATATAGTGCAATGTAATACAGGAAAATGCAATGTAATAGTTCACACAAAGTACAGGAGGATCTGTCAGAAGTGTAGGTGAGCAGCACCTATCCCAGAGTGCATGCCACTCACACTTAGTTTCACTGCAAACAACACACAAAAAAACCCCAAAAGTTTCTCTGGGCTTCAAGCCGTAACTTCACTGGTAGAAGTTCACATGGGTTGCTGCTTTGCGGTTGGGTCACTTTAGCTCTTGGGAAGAATTAACTTTTTATAAGTTGTCTATTTCAGGGAACATGGCCCTCAGTGATCTTCTGACCCCATGGTGGGGAGAGCAGTGCCTGGGCAGGAAGGAGCGTGCATTGTGTGGGTTAAGGACCTGGAGAGAAGAAGCACTTCTGCTATCCCTGCTATCCTATCTGTGGCTTTTTATTTTTATTTTCTTTTTTTTTCTGACTTTAACATCAACTCCAGAAGCCTTGCAGGGGGAAATGGGTTTCCAGCACAGACTAGCACCTGAGAAGTTTGACTTCTCACATTTGACTCTTGAGTGATCTCCAAACACCTGCTCCAGGCAGACACCAGATTCACGCCACCTCCTCACCTTGCAGAAACAAGGTGAAACATGAGTGGGAAGTAAAAACACTGTTAAAACACAAGTCTCCTCACCACCCTTGGCTGTTAAAACACAAGTCTCCTCACCACCCTTGGCTGACTGCTTGCGTGGGGTTCTGTGGGATGCAGGGACAGGGTCTGCCCAACTCTGGCTACTCTCTCCAGGGAGACCCAAAGAGAGAGAACCCATCTCCTGTCCCTCCACACTGTCTGCATCCTTCTTCTGGAGTCATCCTTCTTCTGGAGTCAAGTAAATATGAATGTTCAGAGGGTGGTTTTGTGGGCTGGTTTGTCCCAGCAGAGAAAATAGCATCAGTTATTTCCCACTAAATTGCAGCACAGGAGAGAGATGACCACTCTGAGGAGAGACCTAGGTCATCTCCCTTTGTCATTTCCATTTCTCTTTGCTCATGCCCCACCTAATCCCCTAATGCCTGGTAAAGGGCTCTCTCCAGATTCTGTCTTTAAAGCTGCTATCTCTGCTACAATTACATAAGTAAGCTTCTGCTCATCTTCCCTCCTCCTGAGACTGCTTTATGCCTTCTCCTTGCAAATCAACTTGCCAAACAATTATGCCTTCTATAGTAAAGCCCTTGAAGTGGAGGGTCCTCCATGTCTCCCCACAATGTGCAGGTACAAAAATAACATACCCCATAATACTGTGTCCGGGCCTGCTCACCCACTGCTTATGGAGAAAGGCCCTAACATCACCAAGAACTTGCAAACACTGATCTGCCTGTTCACAACATGCCAGGTGTTGCCAGTTTTGCCAATGGCTGAGGGCAATCTACCTCTCACACACTTCTTGTTAGGTGCTTCAGGTGTTGGTGGGGTGTTTTGTTGTTTGGGGATTTTGGGTTGTTTTGGGTTGTTTGGGTTTTTTTTATGCATGGCGAAGGGTACTTGGATTATAAATCGTTTCCTTTGTACTTTCTCCCAATTTAGCATTTATCCATTTTTTTGGGAGGGGGTGGGGGGCAGGGAAGGTGGGTGCAGAACTGTGAGCAGGGAGCGCAACGGGTGCTTATTGCAGTGTTTCCCGTGGGCTCCCCAC